TCATGTGTATCCTAGACATAACGTATGTAGGGAGGAAACATTATGTATTAGGAGAGTTGGATCCGACTTGGATACGTTTTTATCGTTCATGTCTGTGAATACATTTTATCTTATGAAAATTTTAATGTGGTTTATGGAGTTTCCTGTTTTTGTCTTCAGTTACTACATTTGGTAAAGTGTGTGGGAGCGCAGCAAGTGTGTTACCATTGGAGATAACTACAAAACACAAAGCTGCAGACTGGAGGAGGATCTCTCCATTGCCAACATTGGGTTTATTCCCACCCCAAAAAAAAAAAAAAGGGGAATTGGCGTTTGAGACCTTTATAACATAAGGTCGGTTTTGGAGGTGAGAGTTATTCTATTGGGAGTGGAAGGTGGAAGTGGAAGTCACGCAGAGAATTTGTTTTGCTTTATCACTCGCTCCAAACCCATAAAGCTTTGGGGTGCACAACCTTTTTTTTAATTCATTATTATTGCACTATTGGTGTTGGTGGACCTTTCTCATGTTTATTGTACTTTATATTTAATTGTTGCACCAGTGAACTATAGTGGACTTTTAGTATAAATTTGTTGCACTAGTTTGAATTAGCACGGTATTTTTATTTAATTATATATGTCTATGAGCGCGGCACATGATTGGAGGTGACTGCGAGCAAGTGGTTAAATCTCTCAGTAGCAATACATTACTATTACCCCTGTAGCTATCGCTTACTTCATTTATGAAAGGCAGCTTGAAGGATGTCCAAGGAACGATATTTCAATATATAGTACTTAGAAACCACAGAGCTCAACCTATGAAATAGCTCCTCAGTCTACTAAGATGTTCATGTTTTGCCTGTACAACCCCTTTAATCTGCTCCCGTTAGGGTAGTAAAAGCACACACAGTTTAAGAGTCAATGGGTAAGAAAACAATAAGGCACAGCATCGCGCTGCACTTTGAGGCCTAGAAAATATAGAGGCACCATTATTATGTACCAGAGGAAACAAGAAGCAACACTATGATGAATCATTGAGTAATATTGCTCTTTCAAAAAACATGATAGTAATTAAACACAAATACAATTATATTGCACTCAGTAAAATCATAAGTTAAATCGAGTTTAGAAATGTGTTCTGCTCCCAGATAGAATTAAAAAAGAAAGGCCACAGCGATAGCTTTATAAAATTATACCGTTAATACGATAGAACTATCAAGCCTACATTAAAATAAGTACTGTCATGTTAAAGCAGATCTATCATCTTACTTTTTTTTTAAACTCCAGCCCTTCATTGGTTTACAATTGTCAGTTGCAGTTTAGTGTAATAGCTGTAGCCATAGCATCTCATATGGCAGTAGCCTGGCTGATATTTTGTATAAGAAATGTGTAACTATATACTGTATTCAAAGCTTACTCTGCCTTAAAGTGATCCTGTCTTCACAAATTGTAGATTGAACATATCCCCTAAATGTCTACAATTACCTGCAGGACGTGTCAGAAGATGAAGAAATCTGCAGCACTCCTAATAGAGGCATCATATTATAGGAATGTTGATTGAATACATTTACGTGTGTGAAGTAGTGACAGGGTCACTTTAAAGCAAAGCTGTCATGAGAGAAGTAAGGTGGCTGCCATTGCTTGACCTTTATCTGAAAATGCTAGTTGGCTTTAATACTTTCAGTCAGCAACCTAGAACAAATATGCAGATCAGAATAGTTGGAAAAATGTCAGCAGTCCTTATCTGTGTTCTTATTGTCCTTATCTGTGAGACAAATTACTCAAACAAGAGGGTAAGATGATAGCCAGGCATCAAGCATTTTCAGACAGAGAAGGCAGCATGAATGATGCTCTCATGATAGGTATCCTGTAAGTGTTACACTTGTTAGCCCTCTAATACTGGAAGACATTTACACTTTGATCCTATTAGAAGTATATAAAACAACATTATCATATGATTCCTAATTAATACAAGAACGGCATTGCTGCAGAAAATGGGGTCCAATAATGTGTAGGCGTCAGCAAACCGTACAACTAATGAGCAGGTCCTAAGCCCATGTATATTAAGCACATCATGATGTAGCAGACACGTACTATCAAGGACCAGTTTATTGGTCAGGTCAATAACCTCTACACTTTACACGTATGTAGTGAAATATTTGGTGTCATGTGACAAGCGCAGCTTTAGTATGAAGACAAAGTCTCTCTCATCTTGTACCAAACACACCAGGGAGGCAGATCTCTGCAGCAGCAAAGATGTGTTACACTTATGTACATATGTAGCCAATAGTAAGAAAGCACTTTGGAAACTGTATACATATCAATAACTAAGAAAGTGACATACACAGTGATGTATACACTTACACAGTGATGTATACACTTACAGCATTATGTGCTTTCAGACACAATAGAGAGCCTCTCATTATGGAATTAAATAGAAATAGACAAAGTTTAAATTAGAATTATTCACAATAAAATAAAGTTATACACGTAATTCGAGTTAAAATGATCTCTATACAGGTGGTATGCTGTCCTCATGAACTTAAATAGAACAAATGACAAGATACATATCTTCTATTTCTATCAGTGTTGGAGCAGAGTAAGGAAATCCCGACAATGAAAAAGAATGAATGTCTTTGTTAGCATGCTGGAAAATGAGTGTGAGGTTTTAAAGCTTCTGGACCCCGGTGCTATTTTGTACCCACTAACAAAATAAAAGAAAAAAACCATAGAACAGATATGTGGAAACACAAAAAGGAAAGCTCTGCCTGGAAAGAATATGTCCACCATGTTGTGACATGAATCAATACATACAAGCTTACTAACCTCTTATAAATAAACCGGCTAAATTATAATAGGTCAGTCCTGGTCATGGCAGCGTGCATTAGAGATCCAGTATGGAATGGTGATACTGGAATGACAGCTACACTAATATACTCGCTGCAAGATATGTACGAGAAATGAAACCAAGCCCAGCAGACTGACAACTACTGGTAAAAACATAATAAAGGCAATGTAACAGCACACAGAAGAATCACAATATAAATAGATTAGTACAAAGCATGACTGACTGCTCTTTTATACAACTACTTCAAGTAAATATAATACTACAGTATTGATGAAGTCACAGTTCAAAGACGTGCTAGATTTGAGAAACACATCCTTACATTTAAGTCAATATAGAAAAGCTTTTGTATGAAGGGAAAAATTAGAGTTGATGATTTGTTTGTAAAGAATTACATTGATTCTTGATCAGCAGAATGTATAAGTGATTATTATTATTATATTATGAAATAAATATAGGGCAAAGAAAATCTTATTAGAGGCCCTTTAAAAAACCCCATACTGCTCTTGTGAAGACTCATAATGGCATAAAAGCAATGTACAAAGGGAAGTATACGCCTAACAGACCTAATTACAGCAAACAAAGTTCTGACAAGCACCTATAGCTCACCACACTTTCCACACAATTTTCGCTCCCTGCCCTATTAAAACAGCCCCAGTTGTTTTAGAAAGCCGACACCACGCAACTACTGAAAGCTTAAGACAGGCAACCAACACTCCAGATGTTGTGGAACTACATGTCCCATGAGGGATTGCAAGACTTACAGCCACAGGCATGACTCCCAGAAGCAGAGGCATAATGGTGCTGAAGTTGCCTAGCCCTGGCCATGTCAGAAAGAACTGCTCTGCAGGGCTAAATGCACGGTAGGCAGCCAGATGACAGAACTAACATAGGAAGAGGAACCGACGTATTAATGAAGGATCAAACAACTCCAATCCTCTAGGACCATCTACAAGCCATTAACTGAACAACAACTTAAAACTTACTTTATTAAATACAGGCTGCTCAGTACAGAGATCCTAAAAGCAGTCGTGAGGACGGTGGTTACATCAACTTACAGCCAGAGACGTAAACACCCCAAAAATACTTGCAGATGGACCATTTTACTTGCCAAATGATTCTCATTCTGTAAATCCTGATGGTCAGATTTGTGATCTAGACACCCCTGCTTGCACGGCCAACTTCCTGGCCACAACTGTAGCAGCTGCTCATTTTATCCTGAACATACCTCCAAGTCTGCTGACTGGTCAGTGAAGGAACACCAACATAGTGATAAGCTCATCTTTCTGTTCTCTTATCCTGGAAGTAAATGTGTACAGCAGCTACCCTGACTGGCTCCTAGTGCTGGTCCTGCCATTACCATTCTGAATGCTGCTGCTGCTGCTCAGGGGATTTATGAAACTACTTAAACTAAATGCCTTTAAATATATGTTTAAAGATTTTGAAGTTGATCCATAAATGCAATAAATGGTGCTTCTTAATCTCTAACTGAAGTTTAGTTCAGGTTAAGCTGCTGACCACCTGCTACTTCCCAGCATTGGAAAATGTATTCTATTTAATAATCATTTGCTGCATATGGACTAGAAGAGGGAGTTGTCATGACAGAAAAGAATATCAGCATTCTGTAAAGCAAGGATGCCAGACCACAGAAGAAGGAAACCAATAAAAGCCCACATAGATAAACATGGACAATGCTGTGTTATTCTACATAAACGTCTATCACATAGCTTTCAAAAGAAACATGCCATATAAAACACTTGACTGATTATGTTACAATCCAGTTACATATAAATAAACCTTTTCTTAGGGATACTATCTGCATATGCAGCTTCTTATAGAACCACTGATAAAACCTACAAAATTAAGCTTGTGAGTGCTTTGTTGCCTTTCCGCCCAAGAAGGAATGTAGCTCCGCTTCCCAGTAGTGTTTGGAAACCCTCTACAATAAAATGATGGTCTTGGAGACATATCATAGAATATAGAAAGATGTAGTGCAATGAACAGAAGGTAGAAGGCATGGTGGTTAGGTGTTATCTGTGACTCATACAACGGGTTACTGTTCTGCTGCGAGACCTGTGTAAATGCCTGGCAGCAAAAGAGTTAAGCAGCAATTTAATGCAATAATAATAATAATAGATCCTCTGAAATCCATGCTGTGTATAGTTCTGATAACACCAACACAGGTGAAGGACTTGAATTCATTTTAAATAGAAGTACTCGGCGGAGCAGGTCTGTCTTGTACTGTAGTGTGTACCCTTTAAATTCACCTTGTGAGTCCTCCACAAGGCAGTGCGTAGAGGTCATCAATAAATGCCTTTGTTCATTGTCATTCTCAGGAATTACTGTCAGAGACAAGTTAAGAATCTTGTGTGTTATATTCTGTTTCTCCAGAGGAGATCTGGCTAAGTCGTCTGCTAGAACCAAAAAGCTTTCGAGATATTTGACCTGACTTTGCCTAAAAAAGAAAGAGAGAGAGAACTATATTATATAGAACACATTATGTTACTATTAAAAATATACAAGCCTTGTTAATGAATGCCAAATCACACCACTGCAACTCCTGGGTGTATATATAGTACTTTCCGAAGGACTCGTTCACACTAGTTGCTACGCATGGTAATGTTTACTTTTTTTGTGTCTCTTCTTAACTTTATTTGGAGTGTACAAAATGTACACTCCATTCCTGTCTCCCCAGAGCAGTGATTTTCATCGTGGTGTGGGCGCAAAATATATACACAACTTGATAAATGTTCTTTAATGCATATGAACCATGGATGTCACAAAATAGTTACAAATGGTGAAGGTAAAATATATGCAAGACTTGCTGCAATGTACTTTATCCAGTTCCCAGAGCAGAATGTGAACAGGACCAGAATATCAGCATTTGTAACTGAACTGGAAAAATCAGGTTTAACCTGCATCCAGGAACTGAGACTTTGAGGCAGATTTACTATAGACGCTGAGAATTGCAAGTAAAGTCTTTTTAAGTGCTGTCAGACAGTCTTTTTATATGGCAGAAGACTGTAAGTGTCGTCTGCCACAGAAGCTGCTTACACCGCCTGTCTGCATTTTTGTATTGCGCATGTGCAGCTTAGTGTTCAGGCTCAGCTGGACTCTTGCCAAGGTAAAGTGACTCCCAATCCAAGTAAGTGGCAGAAGACTGAGAATCTAGAATAAGACCAGGACAAAGATGGGAGAGCCAGCAAGGAAGGAGAGTCCAGACACCGCAGCACTGGGGTGAATGGCTTTGGCAGATAAGCCTCCCATAGTGTGCTAATATACTAATAATGCTCCTGGGTCCCCCTTCCCTATTTTTATTAAAAAGTGACACTAAATTTAGGAGTTAAATCTGGCATTCCAATGCATTCACCTTACCTATTAACAAAAATGGATCTTATTTGTGTATCACTCGGCTGTAGATCCTCAAATCATCTCCGAATTCATGCTGACACTGTCCTTCCTTCTAGAGGGTGGCTACTTGTGTTCCTCATGGTCCTTGTGTGTGTTGTAACGTAGCCACCTCTCCAAGCTCACTCCCGTGATGGATTACAATCTCACATTTAGTTTTTTAGATTTCTCATTTGCATTGATATTGTAGTCCATCACGGGAGCGAGCGTGGAGTGGTGGCTACATCTTTGTTAATAGGTAAGTTGCCTGAATGTATTTTTAAGGTTATCTCCTGAGTTTGTCGCTTTAAGTCTTCTTTACTTTTGCATTAACCCCTTCATGACTGAGCTTGTTTTTAGTTTCTGTTCGTAAATGACTGATACACTTTTGACATTTTTGCTGTGTGATTCTTCCACGTCAGTAATATACTTTCTTACAAAGTGCACCCACACATATTATATATTGCTTTTTAGAGGACAGATAGGGCTATATATTTATATCACATATGTGTGTCTAACGCCTCACTTAGGACAAATAAAATATAAAAAAAAAAAAAGAGGAAAAAACGTAAAAAAAACTTTTTTTCCCAGTTTTGATTTGTAGTATTTTTTACAAAACCAGCACAGCTAAAAAAAATGCAATAAATACATTCATTTATTTGTCCTTTATTTTTTTACACTTTATTTTTTTCTTTACACTTTTCACTATTTTTATTTTTTTTACACTTTTCTCTATTTTTTAAAAAATTTTAAAATGTTTATTTTATTTATTTAATTATATCAAGCAGTCATTGTGAATTAATCTCACTATTACTGCTTGATAAATTAATACATTTTTGGTTATTATTAGGCTGCTTCAAACTTCAGAACAGCCGATAATAAGTTAGTGACACTGATCCTGCAACAGTTCAGGATTCAGCTGTCACTAAAGGTTTTCTGAACCTTCCAACGATCAGAAAACGGAAACATTCTTCTTTCAGGAATAGATACATTATGTATCTGTTCCTGAAAGTGAAAGAAAAAAAAAAGCCAGTATACGATCCGAGAGAGATATCTCTAGATCTATACGAGCTGTCAGAATGCCGGCTTTTGCCAGCATGTTTGCCCGCTCTGCTTTGACTCTCAGACACCCGATATTAAGGTATCAGGTGTCTGAAAAAGGTTAACCCTTTCATTAATGAATGCCTCTATACTGAGGCATCCATTAATAAATGGTAACCGCTGATTCTCAGCGGTTACCAGCCCTCTAGAGCAGCAAATAACTCATCGTTAGTTTGTCATTTGGTCCCTTTGTGGCGGGACGTACAGTGTACGTCTCCCGTCACGAAGGGGTTAATTATCCAATCATGTAAACAGTATATGCACATGACTGGATATTCAAAATGAACAGGATTTTGCTTTTGACATGACATATTTGGATAAATGAAGTGAATGTTCACACATTTTTTTCAGTTAAGATTCTCAACTTCTGTAGTAAATCATTGTCTAGGATGAGGACACTACTAATCTTATTGTGTTTTGTGCAGTGGATGTACCACTGGAAGGTATTGTTTGCAGTGTCTTAGATCACAGTTTCCTAATAAACTCAAGTTCAGACATGTCTTTATATTATGACCAAAACAGCCCAGTGCTTTTTGTGCTTAACTTGGTTATGATACCAATGTACATACCTCTGCTGGTTTACCAACACCAACAATGATCAGTTTACCGTCCTCCAACCCCACCAAGATGTGGCTGTTCTCCTTAGTCACAGAAACACAATGGATAGGAACTCGCATGGTGATATGTGCGATGCTGAGACTCAAGCTGTAAACAATATAACTAAAGTCAGTCCATGTGAAATCCTTTCAGCACGTGTCCACAGTCACAAACAAACTTTCATTGTCAATCCCATTTCCTTTCAAAGAATGTCACCACGTACAGAGTAACAATTTAGTTCAAAAGGTATTTAAAAATGATTATATTTAAACCTTTGTAGGATTATCTGGACACACAAGTATTCAAATTGATGTACAATATCTAGTGATATACTAGGAATGGGTCCTGTGGATTGGGGGAAAATAATTTCAAACCATATAAGAGATCAATTCAGATTTTTCTTAGAAGTCAGATTATTTAATTGTGGATCAAAAAACACCATATAAGCCCCCTTAAAGTAGAAGACCTTCTATACTATATATTTCCTTCACACATGTGCAACATCATTCTCCATGCTCACAAAAAGAAGCTTTATCTCTATCCCAGATATGCATCATTCAAAACTGATATGTCCAGAAGCATTTGTAAATGAGCGCGGATTCTTTCTTTCTGACTGAAATAACTTTGGATGGAAAAAAAAGAATACCTGTATAGATCACGTATGGAAAGATGTCCCTGGCGACTGCCAGTCACAATGTTCTCTCCGGTCACACACATATCCAGTATCTGTTCCTTCAGGCTCTCAGAGCACAGGTACTTTCCATTTACACTGTACAGATGTAAGGCATTCTTGTTCTGTAACCAGAAATACACATTCATTTACACTATTAGCCCTTTAATGAGAGAGCCATTTTTTTTGCACATTTAAAAATACAAATTTTCAGCCTGAAGATTATTAAAAAAAGAACTATGGGGTAACCTTTTTTCCCCATAGTTCACATTAGGGTCACGGGAAGACATATACTAACATCTTAACGTGACCCAAAACTCTGTATGTAATGGGCTATTGACCGCTATTTGTTGAGAGAGCTGCACCTGGGACGGATCCAGACAATATTGGCCAGATCCACCCCGCTGGCTGATTGACAGCGGGTTCTGCCCCTCTAGAGGCAGAGCCAGCTATGCCTGCCTCTCCCCCGTCCGTCCTTGCAGTAAGTGCTGGAGGAGAGGGGAATCCCTGTGGAGAGCGTAGACTGACAGTCACCGCTCTCTGCAGGGAGATGATCGGGAATTGAGCGATCAGCGGTATGTTTTCTCTCACTTCCCGATCAATTGAGCCGATGTGTGACAGTTTCAATGTCACACGTCAGCGCTTATTAGGGGATGAGTGTAAGTCACTCACCCCAGAATTCTCCTTTAAAACCCCCCAGAATTATATATCTCCCTAAAGCAGAGACCATGTAGAATAAAATGGCAGCAGTTGCAATATTTTGTGTTGCATGATATTAGTACAGCTAACTATCAAACCCAAATTTTCAGTATAAAATACATTTGAGTTCATTTTAGTGCAATCACCCAACATATTACCTAATTTTTGGTAAAATATAAAAAGAAGGTAAATACATACCAAACATACCAAGCTTCAAAATTGTGTGTGATTTTGTACGTAGGCGTGTCTGACACCTGCTTGTGTTGTTTTGCATGTATGCAGGGGTGGGGGACTTAAACATTATACTGTTTTTAAAACTTTTTTTTTTTACTTAAAGTGACAATAAACTCAGGAGTTAAATCTTAAAAATTGCATTCAAGTACCTTACCTATTAACAAAAAAAGTAGCTTATTTGTGTAGCACTCGGCTGTAGATCCTTAAATCATCTCTGAATTGGTGCTGACACTGTCCTTCCTTCTAGAGCAGGGGTGCCCACAAGGTCGATTGCGATCTACCAGTCGATCGCGTAGCGATCACTGGTAGATCGCCATGTCCTCTCCTCCCACCGCTTCTCTGGATCCCCGCTGCTCTCCCCAGCGGGGATCCGAGAAGAAGTGGGGGAGGGCGGAGGACGGAGCAGCTGTCACAGAATGCAGAGCGGTGAGGAGAGAGAGACGCTCGGCCAGGATCTGACCGCCGGCGCCTCTCTCTCCCCTCACTGCTCGTCCGTTCTGTATTCACAGGCACTAATGCAGGCGATCGCACTATGGGCGAGGGGCCTGCCTGCAGAGCCTGGCTGCGGTGCCATTGACTTCAATGCACCGCCACGCCCCCTCCCGCCCCTGAATGCAGGTGTTTTTTCGTTGGTAGATCTCAATGAGCTCGTGATTTGAAAAGTAGATCTCCAGACGAAAAATAGTGGGCGCCCCTGTTCTAGAGGGTGCCTACATGTGTTCCCCATGGTCCCTGTGTGTGTTGTAAAGTAGCCACCGCTCCAAGCTCACTTTTGTGATGGACTACAATCTCACATTTAGTTTACTAGTTTGAATTGTAATTATAGTCCATCATGGGAGTGAGCTTGGAGCAGTGGCTACTTTACAACACACACAGGGACCATGGGGAACAAAAGTAGAAGGAAGGACAGTGTCAGCACCAATTCAGAGATGATTTGAAGGTCTACAGCCGAGCGATACAAAAATAAAGTACACTATTGTTGATAGTTAAGGTACTTTAATGTGTTTTAAGATTTCATAGAAATAGGTGCTCTTTTATCAAATGAATTGTGTATTTTTATCGGTTTAATAATGATTTGACAAACATTTGCGCAATTATTGCAGGACCTACAAAATGCTTTCAGGAAATAAATGGTTTGGGGAGACTTTTACAAACGCTAGCAGTAGAAAACGATGGGTAAAATTGCAAAAACAGTGTGGCCAGCTGAGGTTAAAAGCATTCCGGAGGGCTTGGCAGCAAAAGGGTTAAACACTTCCTGTGTCCCTCAATGGAGAACATAAAAACCTAATAATCAGGTTTAGAAAACCTATTTATTGATTTTATAATCATTAAATAAATGCATGAATTAGTGGTTTATTATATCTGCCTGGAGTTCAGCTTAAAGATTAATACACAATCTCATACCTTAAGCCTTCCTTTGCCTTCCAGGCTGCTGTGGATGGCAATATGTCCATCCCAGGACACAGCCAAATTGGGAATCGTCATGACAAGAGAACTATCAGTTGGTGGCTTCAGTGTCCTCATATACTGGCCTCGTCGGATCGTATGGATAATCACCATTCCATCCTGTCACAAGAATGCAAAATTAATTCTATATTATTAATGCTAGAGTGTGAAAATGGATCATGATTTTTGCAACATAATTAAATATTTATTTTAAAACCCAGCTGAACGGTAACTTTAAATCATCTAAATACATTCCAGATATATCACAACAAAAAGGTGTACAATGTCTTACAGTCTGTTTTCTTTAGAAAACAGCCACAGCCTGAGTAGAGAAGCCCGTCCCCTGCCAGTATGCTGCAGAGAAGGACCCTTCCTCTCTGCATGGAAGCAGTGTTCTCTCTGCAGAGGTCTAACACTTCCCCTGTGAGTAAGAGCTAGAGCTAATTAGACAGCAGGGAGTGTGAGCTTTGCTGATTTCAGAGCTATATGAGCAGGAGGCACATTGCAGCTGCAGAGAGATAACACTGCTTCCACACTGAGAGTAAGGGTCTGAGTTGCAGCATACTGGCAGGGGACAGGCTGTGGCTGCTTTCTAATGAAAACCAACTGTAAGGTATTAAACACCTTTTGTTTTGATGCACCTATAATGTATTTAGCTGAATTAAACAAAAGGTTCAACTAGGTTTTAAATATCTATTAAAAGAAAAACAAAACAACTTACCCTGGCACCAGAAACAGCCATGTCTAGCTCAGTGCTAATGGCAACACTTGAGATTTCATCTGTGTGTCCATACAGAATCTGCAAAGGCTTTGTAGACAGATCACCAGAAACACCACCCTGAAGAAAGGAAGGAATAATAGGAGTCATACAAAGATTGCTTATGTGATCAACTGTCATTGCACAGAAACAGAAACATTTGATTCAAGGCCGGGTTTACAGTCATTAAGCTCCATATTTGCCACAATATAAATTCAATACAAAATCGTTCTTTCTGCTTCCGCAGTGCTCTCCATCTGCTCATGCGTTCCTTTCCAGCTCCTTTACTCTATTAGTTTTCTTGATGCCTCCAATGCAGACTGCCCAAACCTTCTCTGTTACAGACCAATAATGTACAATTATTTTATGGATTTGCTACAACTTATTTCAAACATTATCTGGACATTGTTTTATTCTGTGGGGATTCCCATATTCATCATTCAGTCATCTCACTTAAAGGAGAACTATGGGGTAAGTGTTTTTCCCCATAGTTCTCCTAAGGGTCACGGGAGGACACAAACTAGCGTCCTCCAGTGACCCAGAGCTTAGGATACCGCGAGCTACAGCTCCCGGTATACTGATACCGCGGCAGCCGGGACGGATCCCGACATTACTCTCGAGATCCACCCAGCTGCGTGATTGACAGCTGGCTCTGCCTATCTAGAGGCAGAGCCAGCTGTACCAGCCCCTCCCCCGTTCGTTCCTCAAGTTAGTGCTAAAGGATCGGAGCGGGGAGGGGGGAATCCCTGCAGGGAGCCATGAGTGACAGTCACGGCTCTCTGCAGGGACAGGATCGAGAAGTGAGCGAGCGACGGTATGTGTTCGCTCACTTCCCGATCTATTGAGCCAATGTGTGACAGTTTCATTGTCACACGTCGGCTCGAACTATGAGGCTGAGTGAAAATCACTCACCTCATAGTTCTCCTTTAAGCTGGCTATAAACCTTCAGATCTGATTGTGCAATCTGTCTGAGATGTACCAGATCTGCAGAACCCTTTCTGGAATTAGTTGGCAGATTTTCCAATACACTGAAAACCTCTGTTAGTGATAACAAGCACTTATAATACCACACATTCTTAGTGTTGCATCCTGCGGGTAGGCCTAAAAAGCCAAATACTTGCCTGAGCTTTGCATTGAGGCACTGGATTGGGGGAGCATTGAGATTTTTACAGTCTACATTAGATGGTTTCTAAACAAAGCCAAAAAGAAATCCAGTGGCAGAAACATACCAAATAGAAAGTAAACGTACTACCCACCTGCTGTGAGATTTGCCAGATCATGCACGTGGCATCTCGAGACCCAGATATGAGATGTATACCACAGTAGTCTGTGGCTAGGCATGTTACAATGTCTATCAGAGAGATAAAACAAAGTCAAATATAAAGCTGGGAAACTGACACACTACTCATTGTATATGAGCCCTAACTTAACTTTTTTCCTTTTATTTTCACCTGTTGATCCTCAAATAACACACTTCCCGTCCCTTCATGTCTGCACTCACTTCCCCACTGTATTTCTTGGCGCAGCCATGGTTGTCACACAGGCCGGAATTCAAACATGTCTGCCTCTGTTTATCTCTATTAAATGAAGGATTAACAGGCCTAGTAGTTTACACTATAAAGATAAGGTTCTTTGTGCTTTCTTTTAGGCTCACAGTAAGTGACAAGGGCGCCGAATTTCTAGCAAGATCAGCAGGTATTTTCTGTACTTGCTGAAAATGTTATTAGCCTAAAAAAAATTAAACTAATGCAGCCACCCCATCTAAGGACTAGCAAACTGCAGTATATTCCATTTTTGTTTTTGGACATACATGCACTTGACTGGAAGCATGTTCAATATATATCTGTACTAAAATATTATATCATACAAAGATCAAGAAATTAAAAAACAAGCTCTATAGTGATCCAACATCCTTATATTTTCAATTAAACATATCATCAAAATTGGGGCTTGAAAGGTATCATACACCACACAGGACTACAAGACATTTCATAAAAAGGATAAAGCTTGATTTATTACATAAAAATTCTTATATTACACGCATAGAGAATGAGACTTCAAGAGACTATTGGGTACTGAACCATATTTAGATCATGGCTGTGACTTCTCAAAGTGTGCTTTATATCTTGTACGGTCATTCTTGCTGAGGATCTAGTTGGAGTTTGCTCGACCATGGTTGGAGGGATGATTTTATCTTATTTTGCGTATGTGTAATATAAGAATTTTAATGTAATTCATAAATCTGGTATAATTTATCCTTTTTATGAAATGTCTTGTAGTCATGTGTGGTGTATGATACCTCTCAAGCCCCAATTTTGATGATATGTTTAATTGATCTTTATATGGGGGTGTGCTATCTATATTGCCCTGCAATTTTTTGCCCATTCTTTCTTGATCCTGGTCACATTTTGCTGAGATGTTTAAAATTCTCTATTAAACTTTGTTGATTAAAAGTAATGCCAAGCTGTCAAACCAGTCTGCAAAGTCATTGTTTTTTTAGAAGATAGGAGGGGTATGAGGGTGACACCTCTGGGAAGAACACAGCATGGAAGGTTTGCACTGCATGACTCATAATCTGTCCCTAAAATCAAATGCTTCCTAACCAAAAAGGGAGCTTCTAATGGTCTACTAACTATGTATAGTATCATTTGTGCAATGATTAAAAAAAAACACTGTAATAATAACACCAGGTAGCTCAAAATATTAAAGGAGAACTATGAGGTGAGTGCTTTTCACTCACCTCATAGTTCTAGCCGACCTGTGACAATGAGACTGTCACAGGTCGGCTCAGTAGATCGGGAGGTGAGCGAACACATACCGGCGTTCGCTCACCTCTCGATCCTGTCACGGCTCTCTGCCGTGACAGGGGAGGGGCTGGATTCCCCTCTCCCCGCTCCGATCCGCCAGCGCTGACTGCTCGCGAGCTGGCTACAGCTCGCGGTATATTGATCCTAGGGTGGCGGGAGGACGCTAGTTTGTGTCCTCCCGTTACCCTAAGGAGAACTATGGGGGAAAGCCTTAACCCCATAGTTTTCCTTTAAATACAAAGTATATATAAAAATATATTCTCCAGCTTTACCCTCCAAAGTTCAATACAAAAAGTTATTTTTAACACAAGAATGAAAAAAAAGAATAAAAAATGTATACCCTGCTTACTGAATTTATTTTCCTTTAAACATGAACATAAACAGAGATGAGGCTGCTAATTCTCACCCATGTGACGAATGTGTTGTCCAATCACTTTGCCCTTTGCCAGTGATGTCACTCGAATGCTGTTATCCCAGTGGCCTCCACTGAACAGCACTTTCCCATCATGAGACACCACAAACAGTTTGGAGCTAATCTCAAGTCCAGGAGCGAATGGACCAGATACAAAGCGCTGGGTTCTGTCATTAGAAGGAAATGAGGTACAATGAACATTATTTTTAATGTGTTGTTACTTGAGACTTTTTCAAAAGGCAAGATAACGTATATATATAACAATTGTTCATAAACAAGGATGGCCAGGTAATTCTGCCATGATCAAATGGTCCCATAGTTCACTTACTTTTGATTAGTCACAGTCTGATCCTTGGTAAAGGTGAAATAATTGGAAATATTCTTGTCATAAGGCAGCCATCCATGAGTTCCAATAATTAGGTTTTGATTTATTGTCACCTAAGGAGATAAACACAAAAGGAAATCAGCTCTAGTACAATAAAGGCTACAATAGGTGTTTTTAGTTCTAAACAAGATCTAATACACAGGATCTAGTGAGACGCTGAAGAACTATTGAGCACATGTGCCTCAAGAGTGCTTATTGAGGAATCATGGAGGCTGCTATTGCCAATCAGTGTAACATGCAGGGCTCGAAAAATCCACTCGTCCACTCGTCTGTGACGACAAATTTTTCAAGCCCTGGTAACATGATTCCCCATAACTGGAAGTACTAGGTTTTTTGCAGAGCTCCCATGGAGCATGCACCTTATGCTTCACCTTTGTTTATTTATAAGTCTCTTGAACCCTTTGACTGCTAGTGTGCATCATAGCTGTAGGTTCGGTACCTGCCTAATAAAATGAACAAAAGGGTGCCTGTCCATTCCGATAGCTTCAACATGGAGACCTGAACCTGTTTTGTTGCCTGTCCAATCATGTGTTCCTCTGTTCAGAATAGCAAGAGCGATATCAGGGAACATGATTCCCATATTCGTTGATATCCTTCTGCCTGTATATAAACCCAGAATTGCACAGACCTAAGTACTTCCATGTCCGCTGTTACTAAGGTTCTGGGAGATGAATGAGAAGTTGTGCCCAATCTCTCTCTCCACCACACAAGGCAGACATCAGGGTTCTATTTAGACTAGTCTATCTCTCCCTAAAAGAAACTTGAATATACTTGTATAAAGTCGCTTATTCAGTTTTGTATAACTTCAATTTTCACTGTTTCCAACAATGCACAAATTTACATTTACACATTTGTTATGTATTTTGATAAACATTAGTGCAGCTATCATAGAATGCAATACATCAATAGTATAATGTATTATTTCTATAGGTCATGTGTTTAAAAAAAATGCTTTGGGAGAGATATTTAAGAAAGTTTGTAATGTGTATGTGAAAAATAGCAAAATTTGGTTTGGTCATCTAAGGTGCAAAATGGGAGGAAGAGCGCAGAAGAAAAAGGGTTTTCAGGTGTCAGTGGGCATAGGTGTGTAGGATACCGTGCCAGTTTGATTCCACCACCCTCCTGCACTGCTGACAGCTGGCACTTCCATAAACTAGACCTTTTTCCTCAGCTGAGCATCTGCGTTTATCCATATAAGATAGGAGGTTAAGGAGAGTGAGGCAGGCAAAGGCTACTGGTGCTGCTTATCCAAAGGATAGAGGCTGTAATCATTTTGAAATCCATCCCATCTATGTTCCTGCTCCAGGAACAGTCAGCCAGCAGGCATCTGCCTGTCCCCACAGACGCAGGCTTACTATCTTCTTTACCCTAATGCTTTAGACTGATACAGTCAATTAAAGTGTTAATAAAATCACAAATCAAAGGAAAAACTCACCAATGTTTCTGGACTTCCCTGAGTTATAAAGGAACGCAGCTGATTCTTTGGAACAATGGTTTTAACAACAGGGATGTCATCGCTGATTCCCTGGAAAATAAAAGACAGGAACTGTTGAGTTTTCAGCATAGAAAGTATATATCACAGTTTGGAGGAATTTCAAATATCACCAATATGTTGGAATTAATGTTATCACGCAGATATAGTCCATATCTCAACAATACTATCTATTATAGTTTTGAGGAAGACAGAACAGGACTAATAAATAACAAAAAGTAAGACAAAAACACTATTTGATCTTAAACTGAGATTTTGAACAAAGGCATCTCTCTGTTTTCCAGGGATGGGTTACCTTCATGAAAAAGGATTTCAGCTCTGTGAGGTTTTGGAATAAGTTCAGTGGTGCATTGTCTTGTTTAGCCTGTCTCATTAACACTTCCTCTGCAGATAACCGAGCAGGATGAGGTTCCTTTTCAGAAGGAAAAATAAATTTGTAAAAACATATTAACATTAAAACAGTATCCACTCATTTTAACAGATGACTAAAATCAGAATTGTATCTTAAATGAACAACTAAAGTCTCTTAAAGGCTGGTTTATAAACCGATCTTACAGCTCTTCGCTGTGTGAACGAGATTTACAGTACTGTACGCCACTATACTCCTCGGATACATCTAGAAGCCATACAGCACTGTGAATCTCATTTGCACAGTGAAGAGCTGTGCAAACGGTCTATAAATCAGCCCCAAATATTTTAATGGGTAATCTTGTGAATGGAATCAGCTTAATGCTGAACTACAACTACCTATAAAAAAAAAATCAATATCTGAACCCCCCCCCCGTTGAGGAGAGGGGCAGCAACAAAGACAGTAGGAAACTGGCAAGCAAAACACCTTCAGCTGTATACTAAGCTGCACAATGCCGTTTTAACACCCCTCTCTGGACAGGTTAATAACACCTCCTAGCTCCAATTATTCAAATGAAATCCACACCTGGTTGCGACTAACAGATTATGTGGATTGGAGCAACATTCACCATATTTATTCCCAGATAATTTTTGTACAAGTCATTCTGAACTGAGAAAGCTGGTTGGATGACCAGTGAAACGCCTTCAAGAAAAATACAGCAAGTCCAGTTGCCTTGACTTATTTTTTACAGATATAATGGTCAACATAAGAAGTTGGGAAAAAAAGACAAGGGTTCCAATCCTTCTCCACTTTATCCAAAACAATAGAAAAATGAACATGTTTTTTGCTTTAGATAGACACACAGACAGGGGGCCTAATACTGTGGCTGGGGATTCCTTCGGCAAGAACCTAGGGATACTTGCAGCAGGAATCCTAGGTGCGCCTGTTCAAGTTAATGACAGTGGCCATATGTCAGCAGTAGTCCACTTGTAACTGTACATGGTACATACCTGCAGTTCAGGATAGATGATTGTTCCTGAAAGCATCAATTCTGCATCCAGGGATAATCAACTGTGCCAAACCGCAGGTTATCGTACCATGTACAATTACATGCAAACTGCCGAAGACAGATGTGGCCGCTGTCAATCTGTCTTTAACTTGAACAGGCACACCTGGGATTCCTGCCGCAGGAATTCATAGGTTCTTGCTGTAGGAATCACCAACCACAGCATTAAGCCCAGTGGGAATGCAGCCTAATTGTTAATTTAGTGCATATGTGAAGACTGTGTGCCTGCAACCCCCCTCTGTCAATCCCTGCACTGGCTTCCACTCGTCCAGAGGATATAATTCAAAATATTAACAGTCACTTATAAAGCCATCCACAACTCTGCCCCTGGATATATCTCAGACCTTGTCTCAAAATATCACCCTAACCGTCCACTCCGCTCTTCCCTAGACCTCCTGCTTTCCAGCTCCCTAGTCAACTCCTCCCATACTCGCCTCCAGGACTTCTCTAGAGTCTCTAACATCCTCTGGAACTCTTTACCCCAACCTGTCCGTCTATCTCCCACCTTGACTGTCTTTAGGCGTTCCCTAAAGACTCATATCTTCAGGGAAGCCTATGCCACCTCAACCTAACCACTGAACCATCACATTCTCAGACAATTCATCCCCACACAGCTACCTCATGTATCATTTCCCCCTCCTCTTTTAGACTGTAAGCCCTCAGGGGCAGGGCCCTCCTTACCATCTTGTCTTGAATTGTAATGTCTTCCTTACATTGTAAAGCGCTGCGCAAACTGTTGGCGTTTCTGTCTTTTTTTCAAATACTGAGTTTCTGTCTTTTTTTCAAATACTTCATACCATTTAACACGTAACACAAAGATAAATACCTTTAAGAGCTGGCAAGGTGTTTGACCAAAGTTATTAATCATGCCTTCTATTGCTTTTCTTTCTTTCTCATCTGCAATGGTATCTAGATCCACAGCACCTGATTTTGTATGCACAAAATAAAAAGATCAGAATTTGAATTACACAGCTAAGCCTGAACATACAGGAACAAGGCACCCTTGAAAAATAAACAACAATGGAAAGCTAGTCATATATACAGTATATAATCCATCACTTCAAGTATAAGATGACCTAAAAGGACATTCAGTTTAGTTTAAACATATTACATTGGCATCAACAGATCATGTTGGGCCTTGTGTAGGTGCTGGTGGCTTTTTAGAATAAAGAACCGGGGGAGATGGGTTTTTGCAAACAAAGCACTCTCCAGGTAACATGCTTTATTAGGTAATTGCTATCAGAACATAGTAATCATGAGGTCCCAGCCACACACTGGCACCTTCCTGCGACTCATACATCACTACAGGACTGGATAGTGATGTTAGATTCAGAGGAAGGAGCCATGGTGCACAGCGGGGAACCCAGGCATCCGACACTCCCAAAGACACTGACGAAAGTGCAGACCTGAAATGGAGGGGAAGTAGGACACATGCAGCCGCTGTCACCCGGTCATTAACTTGCATGGATGACAGTGGCCGCAGCTAAACGGGATATTTGGGATTCCTGCTGCAGGAATCCGTAGAAGCCTGATGCAGGAATCCCAAAATGCACAGCCTGAATGAAGCCTAATACCGTATATACTCGAGTATAAGCCGAGATTTTCAGCCCATTTTTTTTGCAACTCGAGTATATACGGTACTTACATGCACACTCTAACATACTCTCTCATTTTTATATGTGCTCGTGCTAAATGAGGGAACCAACACACCCAGCTGAAATGGAAATATATTACCTTATGTAGGAAGGCCAAGTTCATCAGGGAATAGGTTTTATTAGTGCCAGAAAAGAGCGTTAGCAAATCCTTCCTCTAACATGAGTTTATAGCCATTACAAATTCATGTTATTATTGTCTGCTTAGAATTCACCTGATTATGAAGTCCATAAGTCTGCATTATGTGCTCAAAAATGACAATGTTTTTCATGATAAAACATAGGTTTAGTATGTATGCTTTGTACCTTCGTAGCTACAATAGTAGAAAACATTGAGAGCCTCCACAGCTGCTGGTCCTCTCTGCTTGTAACCAAAGATCAAATCTATCCATTCATGAAGATGCGCAGAAACATACTCGGACTCCTGCGAAGGAGGACTAAGTTATTAAATAGATCATTTACACCTATGTCAGACAAACCGTGCAACATGGTGAAACATACCAGTGCTTTCCTGTGCTTGTGGATAAAATCTTCAGGACTTTTGGCCCATTTTGGGAGAATAACATTGTCTATCTGCTCTTTACATATCTGCAGCCTTCCCAAATCAAATCCTACAATACATGGAGAAAAAGAAGTAGGTTCATTAAACACATTATGGACCCATCATAATGCATCTTATTAAAGGTACATGGATAGCCCGCCCCACTGTCACAGATATGTGCTACATATGTGATACACTAATTATTCAGCCTGTAGGCAGAGTGAAAAACAAATCTGAACGCTGAACAGCATGGATGGATGAATCTCCCAGAGCCAGCTGCTCTAACAGCTGCTATATACCTAGACAGTACCTGCATCTGACTGAATACAGCCACTGTTCAGCTGCTATGACAACAGGGCCGACAGGGCCACCCAGGGCTCCAATTTCAGCTTGTTCATCAGGAACTGGACACAATTTGTTTTGTGTGGCTAGTCTAGGCCCTAACTTGTAGGTCACCTGCACTGTATTAAGACTACAGCATGCTCGGCAGTTGTATTCAGTGCAGTCATATCAACAGCCATTTTGCCCCTTGGTATAGGGGACCTGTACATTAACATATCACTCATGGCCAATAAAAAAAAAGTGGCTGGGTTCTGTAGGACAAAGCAAAATAAAAAATTGTCAAAAAAGTAAAAGGAAGGTGATGAAGAACACAGATTAAATATAACACATGGTGTATATTACAAAGGAGAACGTGCACTTAAATCATCAATAAGATTTTTATATCCTCCCTGTTTTACCATTTTTGTTTTCCAGAAACTCGGGAAAGTAGAAGAACTCTGGAATGAGTTCCTTCACATCGTTTGGATTATCCATAAGAGCTTGCCAAGTGGCAGGAATGGAGTGGAACTGTCGGTCAGCACAGTCAAATCTGAAACATAAGAAATCAAGTTTGTATGAGGTTAGCTGCTCTGCTCTTTATTTTAAAACGGAGGTGCAGGCAAGCGGCCTTGCACAGAATCTCATAAAATGCTTCCTCCAAATTGGTGTATAACGCCATCGTTAGGTTACTCCTGCAGCGTGCATTGAAGGAGTAATGTAGCACTGGTGTTGTACTACAAGAAAGCAAGCATATTGTGAGATTGCATGCGAGGCTGCTATAGTAGATGTAAAATTATAGAACTATTTTATGCTTGTGAGTGCTTATAATCTTTTATATTAAAGCTGAGAAAAATAAAAAAACTACCCTTGCTTTTAGGTTCCCCTATACTGCAAGGGTTAAATGCTCCTTTTTTCCCCCTAGGGTACCATTTAAAGCACTTGTACTTGCCTCATCCCTCACTCCCCCCTAGCAGTCAGAACTCTCTTATTCCCTCCAACGCTCCGGGAATGTGGCTGGGTCCTTGATGTCCTAACTCACACAGCAGGACTGCCGGACCTGCATTGTACGTGATGACATCAGAATGTGACCCCCGGACAGAGTGCCGAAGAGAAGCGGGTTTGGGAGACCGGTCTTATGGAGAGGTTAAAACCTGCACTAGCGAGGGATAAGGTAAGTAAAAGTGATTTTTAATGGTACCCTAGGCAAAAAAAAAGCATTTAACCCTTGCCGTGTGAGAGAGCCCCACTTCAAAGATAGTTTAGCTTTAGGTGTCTAATTACTTCACAAGCCCAGAGCAGGTTTTGTTTTTGGGGTGTGTGTGTGCACTGTACTATTTCCCAAATCGAAACCAAGACCAGTGCTGAAAGTTCTGGGGATGCTCTCTGAGAAGACTCCTGATTAGAGATAATTACAATAATAGCTGGGACAGACTGGCAATATCTTTTCTTGCTGCTGAGCGCAGAAGGCATTGGGAGTGTTTCATCTATACTGGTTGAATTTTAAATTATAGATTATTTTTAAATGAATATAACTTAATTCATTGTTTGTTTTTTTAATTTCTGCCTGGAGTTCAGCTTTTATTACTCCTCTTTGTGGGTCTGACAGTTCAGCTCATGCCAGGGAGTCAAAGGCAAGCTAAAGTCTTAGGGGTTGATTTACTAACCTTATAAACACACCACGAACATGTATACACCTCTGTAGTGTGTTCCCTCCCAGCATGATCTATGGGTGGAATCTAAACACCTTTGTAGTGTGTACACACCCAGCAGGTGTGTTGTGCAAAGCCAAGCATGAATTTGCAAGGTGATGTTGTGTAAATTAGCTGCAGGAATGTAAATGCATGAGCTAACCATTTTTGTCTAAACTGTGAAGCAGCATTATATATGCATCATGTGCATGATTTTTCCATGTATGGCATTAGTGGAAATATGCTTTTAGAGACTTTTTGGTTGATAAATACGTTTTGCTGTGTGAAAATCACACGCACCTGGTGCGTGCGTGTGTTTAGGTTAGTAAATCACCCCCTTAGAGTTACTGCCCTCTGAACTGCCTTACCACACACACTGCACACTCAAAAGCTGGGAGCCAGCATGTAGGGTCAGATAGTACCTGCCAGACTTCTGAAAGCACCTTGGACCGCTAACTAAAGCTAAAAAAAAAATCAAACTGAGAGTAAGTAAAAGGGAGAAAATATAAATCCTTCATTAGGTCAGCCTACACAATTATGATAATTCAGGACAAAATATTCAGGATTCTTTTATAAGTCCAGTATGGCTATTAAAACACTTACCTTCCACTCTGAAGCTGGATGTGCATTGTAGTGAAGGGTTCCACACGAATCAAATAATGCATGACGCCAGCAGAGTTGGAATAATGTGTACCATAGTGGAAACTGTCAATCTTTCCAGAAGGATCTTCAAAATTTTCGTATCTGCAATTTAGATTTCAGACATTGAGATACTACAAATGTATAGATCTGTAAAGAATAAACATTTTAATTAAGACTTCACTTCAGACAGGCTTTATTAAGCGTAGAATACTCTCTATTCAGCTAGTCCATTTTGTTTAAGCCCAAGGTGGAGTACCATATGTTCATATTGTTTTTCCCACCTATTATTATTTTAGCAAAATATTAACGTATGGTCAGCCAAAGCTTTCTTTTTAGTTTTAGATTGGGGAAGGATAAAAACCTCTGTTTTATCAAATAAGATTTTATTCTGAGAATGGAGATGATACAGAAATGGTATGTATATAACCAGAACTTACATGACGATTTGGCAGCAGAGTGCATGCAAATCAAATTTTGACATAAACAGAAGTGGGAGAAGGGATTGGAGTCTTCCCATGGAACTGCTAGAGTGAATAGGCATGCTTGAAATGAACTTTCAAGCACTCAAATAGCTGGTGTCATAGTTGATGACATGTCAGGTGTGTATATAAGATAAGGGATAAATATAACGGAAAATTGTATACTTACCTATCGGTAATTTTCCTTTCCTGATGCCAATCCATGGCAGCACACAATGGGTATGGCTCCGCCCCCAGCCCAATCACAGGACCAGTTATACTATAAATTAAAGCCCGCCTCCCAAGGCCACCATTCTCGTAACAAGTACTCAATGCGAAAGCCATGGGAGGGTTCTGTATGCTGCCATGGATTGGCATCAGGAAAGGAAAATTACTGATAGGTATACAATTTTCCGTTTTCCTGACACCAATCCATGGCAGCACACAATGGGATATAGCGATCACACATCCAGGGAGGGTATTCTGAGATATTTATTTATTTGTACCACATTCAGAACCAACTTCACCTTGGACAAGACTCCTGGATAGACCCTGTAATGGGACAGGAACATATAGCAGGTTTACCGCCTTCCAGAATAACTCTGGAGGTACATCACTAAATTCTATCCGTAAGGAAACATCCCACCCTTATGCATACATATAGGCATTCTGTGCGCTCCATGTGGCTGTAGAGTGTTAATAAGAAAGCGAGATGGGGATGTCTTTTCATATTGAGAAATAAAGGGACAGGTCTTCTAATCTTGATTCTGGTTTTGGGATGAATCGGGGTAAAGGTTTCTGAAATTTTGGGACTTCTAAAAAATGATTCACTTCATCTAAATGTTTAAAACAAGTATCCATTTTATCTTTGCCTTTGACCACATCTGTGGCTATCTGAACTAAAACCTTACTTGCATCTTTGGAATGCATCTTACCTATTGGTGCTGGATGATGCACTTGCTATATGCACAACACTGTCTAGTGACTGAAGAGAAAAGTACAAGTGCAGAAAAGCATGAGATGCCAGGTTTCATATATTTTTGCATGATTCAGACCTGCCTGCACTGATACACAAAGAAGAAGGGGAGCCAATGTTTTATATTTTTTTGCACCTCATGGACTGATTCTGCCACAAAGTAAAGCTGGCCATACACCTTACAATTATCTGCAGATTTTCTCTGGTCAGATGGAAAAGGTGCAACAGATTCCTCCATCTACGCTAAACTGTGTGGATGGAGTTATCTCCACCTGGGCCAATCTGTTGCACTTTTTCCATCTGACCACAGAAAATCTGCAGATAATTGTAGGGTGTATGGGCACCTTAATTGTTTTTACAGATAGAGGGTTACTTCTCTAAAACAGCAGTGAGATGTTGATAAAGGCACAGTTTAGATGTAATTAAAGGAGAACTATGAGGCAAGTGATTTTCACTCAACCTCATAGTTCGAGCCGACGTGTGACAATGAGACTGTCACAGGTCGGCTCAATAGATCGGGAAGTGAGCGAACACATACCGGCGTTCACTCCCCTCTCGATCATGTCCCTGCAGCGAGCCGTGACTGTCACTCACGGCTCCCCGCAGGGATTCCCCCCTCCTCGATTCTCCAGCGCTAACTGGCGGATTGGACGGGGCGGGTGCAGCTGGCTCTCCCTCCAGATAGTCAGAGCCAGCTGTCAATCACGCAGCTGGGTGGATCTCGACAGTAATGTTGGGATTATTCTTATTACATAGTATTTATATAGCGCCAACAGTTTGCGCAGCGCTTTACAATATAAAGAAGACATTACAGTTACAATACAAGTGAAGACAAGATGGTAAGGAGGGCCCTGCCCCTGAGGGCTTACAATCTGAAAGAGGAGGGGGAAATGATACATGAGGAGGTAGCTGTGGTAGCTGTGGGAATGAATTATTTGAGAATGTGAAGGTTCAGTGGTTAGGTCGAGGTGGGATAGGCTTCCCTGAAGAGATGAGTCTCTAGGGATCCGTCCTGGTGGCGGCGGTCTCAGTATACCGCGAGCTGCAGCTCGCGATATACGGAGCTTTGGGTCACAGGAGGACGCTAGTTTATGTCCTCCTGTGACCCTTAGGAGAACCATGGGGAAAAACATTGACCCCATAGTTCTTCTTTAAGTGGTAACCTGTAGAAAATCTCTGGGAAGTATTTAAAACTCAGGCTGATCAGCTGGAGAAGGACTGGAATAGAAGTACATGGCACTGCGACATGAGTGAAGAACTCCTTTGGAGGAATTGGAGAAGAATACTCACAGTAATTAGTTATATTTTGAGTTACTAAAACAAAACAAAAAAACGTACTTCTCTCGTACAGCCGCTGCATTTTTCTCATTCGCCACACCAATGGGCTTGGACAGGTCCCGGAAGACAGCTGGGTTGTTTAAGTCCAGCTCCTCTGATGTATAATCTTGCAGCACCCATGGGAACTAAAACAGAGCATTATCTCAAATTCTGCTAACACATCTACATAAACCACAATGTTATAGATGTAATATTGTTTATATTTCTAAGGCTTCTTACAAAGAAGAAAAACTTGTCATTATAAACATTCAAAATTCATATGAGAAACTTACAACTGGATATTGTGCAAGATCATTGTATGTCCTCCCAGCTATTGTGTTCACTTGCATGAGGTAGTCAAAGTTTGAAATCTCCCTGTTCACCCATTTCTAAAGAGTAAAACAAACAAAAACAAAACAACTGAGTCACAAATGTCAGAATGAGCTATCAGATATACAGTATATTGCTGCATATAATTCTCATTCAGTCAGAAATCACACGTTTAGAAATAGCTTTTCCTTTAACAATTAAAGAAAAAAAAAACATTTTCACAACACTTTAAAAGAAAAATACATATTTTGTGGATCAGGAGACAATATCTTGGAAGTAGTGATATTGATGACAGGCAGCGGACCTCACAAGGTGTTTAATTTAAGGCTTCTTCTGGCAGTTAATTAGATTCTCCCACAATACATTACAAACATAATGGTCTATGTGGTAAATAAAAGCAAGATGTAAATTTGTATATCATAATTAAAATTACAAATGATACCTCAATGATTGTTACCTCTCTATTATATAAAGATGTATCCGCAATCCTCCTGCAAATTGTGGTTATTTGTTTATCTTGATATGTGACAGATTTAGACTTAGTTATGACCAAAAGCGGAATACAGTTTAGGACTCAATTCAGCATGGATATCTCACACATTCAATTAACAATGTAGTCTTCTTACAAGAGAAGGCATTTGCATGTCCCATTTTGGTAAATAAGGAGCTTATTCTTAATTTTAGGATAGTGGGCAGTCATGCAAATCATTCCTAGTATTAAAGGCGGGAGATTTTTTACCTTAATGCATTCTTTGCATTAAAGTAGAAAAATTCCCAGTACCTTTCTGTGTCCCCCGTTCCCCCCCCCCCCCCTTCCCT